CTGCTGTGCTCCCCCTAAAACAACCCTTGAAAGTTCATAGAGCACCTTCCCTGTTGCCCAAACTAACCGTATCTTCTTTCTTGCGCCTATCTATTCGGCATTAACAGGCACATTCAGTTCAGCTCTAAATCAAGTATGAAAATCACACCCATCAAAGTGTCCAGACTTGCATCACCAGCAGCTTAGTAGCTTTACGTTTATTGCAGAGAAGTCTGGCAGACCAGAATGACGTGCACTTTACTTGCCAGTTTTGAGTCCCTTGATGCAGCCTTTGCTCGCTACCCTCTACCTCTGGGCTCTTCCTGGTAATGACTATTTGTGGCAAGGGCTCCTGAGCTGCAGCTCCCTGTCCGACAGCCATGAGAGACGATCCTTTCCCATCTCCTGATGGAGCTGACGGCCCTCTTGGCTGGCAGAACTATGAGGACTTCTGGTCATGACGCTTTCTGGCTGCTTTTCTACGGTAACACCTCCACTCCCTGCAAATGGCCAACCCTCGTAGCCATGCCTCTCACATCCGCAGCCCCAGCAGGCTACTGCCCCGAGCTGACACCCCCGCAGTTTCCTTCTGGGAAAAGTCAAATGTTTCCCTTAGAGCTTCCCAGCCACTCTCTGTGCAGCCATTTGTTTGGGTAACATCCTCCTGTTGTCCAAGCTGTTTCCCTTCAGCTTGCTGCCGTGCCAGATTGTCACACGGTGTCTCAACCATCCTCCTTTAAACTTTTTATGTTCTCCTCGCCAGGGAGCTCTTGTGAAACATGCTTTTTGGCTTGACTCCAAGCAGGGTCTTTCATATCATCATTTCTTTGCTGGCTCCTGTCTCTGCCCAGCCAGTAATGAGATAGTCCCAAGGAGTAAGGCACCTGGAGGAGGTGGGATATCACAGCTACACTATGTACCTCCTCCACAAAACCAACACTCCCCGGGGACTGGGCACCCTGCCTACAGCACAGGTGAGAGAACAGAGCACACCTTCTCCAACATGCAGATGAAATCTCTGCCGTGGGGATGGGAGAAGGCCAGCATGCCTCTGCTACAGACAGGGAAGGGAAGGAGGGAGGAGTAAGGGCAAAGGAAGAACGTTGGAGAGGTGAGCTGGCTTCCTCCTGCCCCACCACCATCACCTCTGGCATCCCCATCACAGCACGGGCACACTGGCATAGGCAAAGGGTCTGCAGCTGTCTGGCTGCCAGGCAGGCTGCTGCTCTCCATGGCTACTGACTCTGTCTAGATCTGACCCTGAGCTACAGCAAGCAGATACTATCAATTCAAACAGTTTCATCTTTTAAGTCTCCACTTTTTAACACGGGTCTCTTTTGCTTGCCCATCGAGTTAGGAAATTCAGCTTATCTCCTTTGTTAAACCATTTATTATACAGCGGCTCATTCAAGCTGTTCTTCCCAGTCCATTCACCAGCTGTATTACTGACAAAAGAGCAGTGTCCCAGTCTCCTAGCCTTTGTTCTGGTACCAGAATAATCTCCTCTGTGGCTCTTCTGCCATGGCGGCATATATACAACTTGTGGCTATAATTCAAAACTATAGCTCATTATGTGACACTAATCTGCAAGAAACTGCCACCCATTTCCTCACCATTACTCTTTGATTTCAGATGTTTAGGTAGAGCAAATAGACCCTCAGCTAATAAAAGCAAACTGCTCGCTAGGAATGCTATATAGCAGACTTAAATCTGAAATCTAATAATGGGAAAGAGATTGAAAGTAAAGACAATAAGCATTCCAGATCGTGCTGTTAGAGAGGGATGGAAGTTTCTACATAGTCAAGGCTGCAATCAGTTTCCATTTCAGCTCCTTTATTGGCTTTGACTTGGAAGTTTTCTCAGGTCTGAAAAATTCAAGGCTTATTCTTGATGAAAAGAAGAAAGTGTTTTGCAAAAAGGCAGGACAATTGGACAAAAATGGCATTGCTGATAGCTAGCACAGAAAAAGCAGGATTCAAGTTCCCAAAAATCATCAGTTTTTTAATGCATGGGGGGATTTATGTGTCTTGTTTTTTGAGCTGTTCAGATCATATTTTCAAGTTTTTTTCTCAGTAATAATGAGGTCTAGAAAATTGTTTTTCCTCCCATTAAAATAAGCTCAAAGAGTAATCACATGTGCTCAAGAGCTGAAAAAAGCAGCAAATATTTCAAAACAATCACTCATTCACAGAAGAAAAACAGTACATTAAAACACTAACACTACATTTAAAACAAAAACAAAACATGCAAACTACAAGTCAAAATGAAGGTTATGAATTTTTGAAATGTGTGTTTTTATACTTAATGAAATGTGGCTCATAATATGGGTAGTGTGAGATTTACAATGTTCTAAACTATTCATATCCTTACTTGCAAGTGTTTGGATTTTACAAATGATGTGACAAGTAAATACGTTGCTTAGAAACCATGGTGGGCTTTTGAAACTAATTCTTTTGTTTCTGGGATTTTGACTTGGCAGGTGTTTGGTGCAGTGGAGTTATCAGGCTCCTCTGGTTTGCACTCAGACAGCACCAGTCACTTGGGGAGGGCTCTCAGATAAGGATAAAGCTTAAAAATCTGAGGCTCGTGTTATTCCAGCTCCCTGTCTGCATGGCATGCCCTCAATACCTCTTACAGTTTCAGTCACGCTGTGTCCAATTCCTGAAACCAAAAACCCTCGTGAGCCCCAGGATCTTCTTTTCTTCTAGGAAGCATTTTCTGTGAAGCTTTGAAACACAGGATGAACTAAGCCAAAGAGATGCTGTGGTGAGGTCATACTGCTTTTAAATAGACAGAAAGAACTAGTCTGAAATAATTTATAACGCTATCATCTAATAGAATGATATTAACCAGGAAATTGAGAAGTGGGAGTACTTATAAACTCCACCCTGATCCCAAACTCCTTCCACAACCCCAGAATAGCTGGCGTTACTACTAATATGATCTACAGTAGCACATTTAAACATGGTTAACATTTAAATTTAGGTTTCATAAATTACACCCTGTAGAGATGGATAGAGACAGCTCCTATCTCTTTGAGGTATTGTTTCATTTGCAAATTCAAGCAGATGGTGCACGAGCAACTAATGACTCAAAAAATCACCCCTAAAAATAGTCCAGAACAAGGTGTGGATTTATCAGGGAAGGATGGAACAGAAAAAACTTTACTTCCCCTTCCCATTTCTCTGGCACAGCTCCAGGAGCTCAGCGCACCCAGAGCTGTGCAGCACCGAGGACCTCATCCACACCCCCATATTCAGGCACCTCTCCCTGTCACCTCGCACAGAGTGGAAATGAGATGGTGAAGAGGGAAAGGGCTCGGCACTCCCCACTTTCCCCACACCAAGCCTGTATCCAACCCAAAAAAACCCACCCTGGGAAATGATGTCTCCATTAACTCTATCAAGAATTGCTCAGCAGAGCCGTGTGGCACCATCGAAACTTGCAGTCTCCCAGTCAGGTGGGTAGCGCTTCATAAAAACTGACTTTTCCAAGGAAAGTCTATAAATACTTGTTACTGCTTCCTCGTGAAGCAATACACTGCAATATATTGTACTTCCAGCAGGAAGCCAAATTTGCTGTCACTTCCCCTGTTTATAATGATATTGTAGCCTTGTGTCTAACCACGCTCGTACAAACTCTTGTGGAGACAGAGACTCCCTCCAGGACGTGTCGCTGGGGTTTGAGCAGGGGTGAAGCATGTCAGCGTTAGCAGCGTCTGCGCAGGGGGAAACCTGCTGTGCAGCCGAATTATGTAAACCATAAATTCCTCAGAGCGACGTGCCTGTGTTTGTGCAATGCCTGGCAGAAGGCACTGTTCACAGCTGTCCCCAAAGCAATGCCGTTCTGAAGTAATAAATATTAATAATTGCTAGTTAAAGATTCCAGCACAGGTAAAGCTACGGCTTGAGAAGTAAAATGTTTCTGTATGAAAAGCAGGAGGGCCTCTGGCAATTTGAACAGCTACAGGAAGGTAAGTGTTATTATTTACTGCACAAATACACACAGAAAATGTATATTAAATCACACTTCGGTTGCCTCTGTGAAGCAAGAAACTCTCCCTCTGCAACACATCTTGCTCTTTTCTCTTGTTCGTATCGTGAGTTCTTCCAGCTCTGCTCCTCACCTCCTGTCCTCTAATGCTGAATAACCTGGGAAGAAAGCAGTCTCTTCCTCCATTTTCATTAGTAGCAGAGACTGCTACCACAATGTTATCTGATTCTAAATGTTATACTTAAACTGATTTGTTAGGCCATACTTAGTCTTTTCTTTTTGGGTTGTCTTATCTGTTTATTATGCAACAAAAAATAGTTGCTGTTGGGGCTCATGATTCAACCACTCCTGACGTATATTATTTCACTGAACCATAGTTCTTCTCCTGTTACAAATGCAGCTCTAAATTTGTTAGAGCTTGCCTATGCTCATCTTGTGTGTTTCCAACCTACTCTTATGGCATCCTAAATAAAAATAATGTTTGAAAATAAAGGAAAACATACACTGATTATATACAATGGGCCAAAACAAGACAGTTGCACCAAAACGCATAGGTGAGGATCTGGCTACATCAGCAAGATGAAGCAAAGAGGTTATGGAGTGAATTCTAAAAGAGAAGAAAGCAATCATTTACACTGTCATTATGACTTATACAAAGGTGTGTAGATGAACTTGGTACAGAGGGAAAGTCTGGCCATGCAAATAAACCATAAAGTCAAATTCTGTGCTGGCAGAGGGAGGGTGCAAAATGATTTACTATAACTCTTCTAACATTCACGATGCCGAGGGAGATGCCAGCATTCTGCTTCATTAACTAGTCATTTTGATTGCGTTTAAAAAAAAAAAAAATCTAGTAATTTTCTCTTTGCAATTATACTAGGAATCTAAATCCCTCTACATAAATTATAGCTTTCTTTTTGAGGTGGAGAATGGCCACATAAGCTGGAAACACACTCTCTTCTGAAGCCAGAACCTGAAGGGAAAGAGCTTGAGCAGCAACCCTGGGCTAATTAAAAGATTATCTTTACCTTGCTCCCACAATGAGCTGGTTCCTGTTGGCATCCAGTGCAAGCTGAGAAAAGTCATGCACACCTGGATAGGTGAAATTCGACACCCAGGGCTTCAGATCTGCAACGAAAATGAGAAAGCAGAAAACAATAAAGCTGCTCTAGAAGCAGTGAGTTTACCCGGACATCCACTAATGGATTTCCTACTGAGTTATCTGTCAGGAGAAGGCTAATTAATAATCTATTTAAAGGGTTTCTATTTATTCTGATCCTCCGCAGAACGTGCAAAAAACTGCACATAAACGCAGGGCTGTCTCAGCAGTTATTTTCACATCCAAGGTGGAGTGCCAGCATTGGTTTCAGAGACAACAGCAGCTCAATTTGACTTCTGTTAAAACTGGGGAACCATCTTCAGTGCCAGGGTTAAGTGGTATATAGGGACTAGGTTGCCTGCTGTAGTACCTCCATAGCTGTGCCTTCTGTGCTAAGCAAAGGGAAACTGCTGCCCTCCAGAAAGAGAAGATGGGGTCAACTGATTGAAAACCAAGTTAGAGTAGAAGTGATCTGCACTGAAGACCTGGCTGCTCCAATGACAGGTTTTACCTTCTCTTTCAGGGTTCTCTTCCAGGTTTCACTTTACCTAACATCTGGGATCCCTATCAGTTAAATCCTCCTTAATTTAGATTGGGGGTGGGGGTCATCACAGCATCTTTGTGGCTGCGAGATTGCATAAGCTTGAGACTGGCTCTATCAACTAGCTTGGATTTGCCAATCTAGGCAATTGTCCAAACTGCAATCACACAGGTTAAATGCAAAGCCATTGATTTGGCTGTGCTATGCTCATGGAGACAAAGCTCTTCCAGAAGCTGCATCTATTAACACAACATCAATTGAGAGATCTAGGGCAGATAGTCCTGATGTAATAAAAAATACACCTGTTTAAAGAAAAAGCTGAATTACTATTTTTAGGGTACTCTCAGGCATGATGCTAGGGCATTCCCAGAATTCCAGCTTTCAATACAGTTACCAACTTCGACCTTGTGTGTATCACGGATCACAAAATTTCAGCCTCTCACCTTACACCTTTACTGCACCAAATAACTGGGGATAGATCAATACATATCTTTCAGAAAGTCATCCAGCTTTGCTGTGAGGACTTCTCTTACGAATTTATTCCAACTGTTAACTACTCTGGCTGTTAAATACATGGAGAATACCAAATATCTGAGGGAGCAAGGCACAAATGAGACCAAATCAGTATATCTGTAATCCCTCTGTGACCTGTTGATAAGTAACCCTGGCTCATTCAAGGACTGCATGTTGAAGATCCAAGAGGCTCAACATGAAAAGTAATACCTTCTGGCCTCATGCCAACAGGTTAGCAATACACAGGCCAATGACCTGATGACTCATAACAATAATGATGTGGTTCAGACCAGTTCAAAAGAGCTCTGAAAAAACATGCTCCATTGTCATCTTATACCCCCAATGATAAATTGAGAAATCTCACTGAAGGCAGTCAGGTTTGAATCTTTTGTTGTAGGCATTAGTTCCCCTTTCCACAGGGGTGAGATGACAACGCTGATGAGGAATCTCATTAAGGCCTTTGGTGTCTTGGCATGCTTTGTAGGATTACAGATGTGCAACAGCTTAAAACCTTTGACGTAGGGATAGTTGTTGAGCAATTTCAAGTCCCTTCTCCCTCCAGGGATGGATGAAACCTAATCAAGCCCTTCAGTTATCAAAACCTTAAGAAAACACATATAAAAGTCCCTACACTCCACTTGTCCTGCCTCACTTCCCAAAGCAGAATCTTGTCATGGAGCTTCTGCCTCTGCCCTGACCACCACCATGTTTCATAACAGCTCCTAAGCCCCCTCACTATGGAGCTGGACACCATCAGGCCTGGTCCCATGCCCCACCTAACTGCACACTGCCAGGGGCTCTCCGACAATGAGACCTCCATGCTCACAATCTAAAAACCCAGTCGCCAGAAGCTGGACGTTTCCAGCCCTTCTCAGCATTCCTGTCGCACTGCACACAACACGTGTACCTCCTCTGCTCTTCAGTGAAAAGGCATGAGTTAAGGAATAACTCAGCCCATCTAACCTTCAAGCATCTCCACCTCCTACACTCCTCTGGGACCCTTAATGATGTACTAGCACCAGGGAGGCAACGCAGTTTCACCTCCGGCATTCTCCTAACTAATGGGGCTCTGTCTTCTTTTCCTGTAGCTCTTTAGCTGCAGAGACATTTCTGAGCCAAGCAGCAGAACCAGCAACAATAACACCTTTCAGGCAGGTTAGCCGGCTGACATGTGCTGCAGATCTCCTGGCATTTCTGTTGGCTGACGGGGGTGGGATTAGGGGATTGCTATATAATGATGATACCTTTTAAAGATCCTGCTTTTAGGCCATAATTTCTCTTGTCATTTTACCTCCTCTCCTACCAACTCTTTCCTACTAACTAACCCACTATTACAGTGCAGTGGCAGGAAGAGTATTTCTTCATCTGCTGCTCTAAGCAAAAGCTTCTCACTTCAGAGAGGTACACTCATCAGTTCTTCCTTTTAATGGCAAGCTCTGACAAATTACAGGTAAAAATAATTAAAAAAAAATTAAAGGCAGTAGGTGGCTTGAATCTTTCCATGTTGGCTGAAATGTCAATCAAGCCCAAGAAATAACAGGCAGTGTCTTGATTTCTATTACTACTGCAGGTGGTACAACTTACAAAGAAACCCTTCCCGGTTATTAAATTAAAGGCTGCAAGGCATGCATCCTCACAGCAAAATTAAGCTTTTATAGGCATGTAGTTGGAGATTATTAAACCCAGCATGGTCCCAGATAAGAATGTCTAAGTGTGAGTTGTCAGAATTAACGCCAAACGGCACATTTTCCTTCCCAACGTTCTTTCTTCCTGTAAAGAGGGAAGGGATAAAGTGGAATGGAAATGCAACCAAGAGTCAGTACATGGGTCTTTTTTCTTTTGACACATTCAAATCTACTGCTCGGACCACAGGCATCCCTAAGGACAGCTCCAGCCTTTCATTCTGAAACTAGCTCAGTTCTGCAAGGTAAGTGCTGCCCTGGGTCTATCCCATATTAGCTGAAGTTTACACATATGGACCCAATGAACTCCAGAGTTTGCTTGTATTTGACCTTTCTCAGAAGGCTGATTTTTCCAGTGCTGACTCTTTAATTTGGCTGGAAACCTTCAGCGCTGGGGCATGTTTACATTTGCAAAAGTATCTGTTTAAAAACAGTATGAAAAATTAAAAACCAAGGCCCTGGCTTTGCATGTCGGCAGCAGGAGCCGGAAAGCTAGGAACCACGTGGCTTAGGGGCAAAATGTTCATCAAGGCCTCCTTTGTGCTTCTCATCTCTAATCATTTCCAGGGGGTTAAAGATCCATGCTCTCACTTCCTCCACACGAGGACCAGCGAACAAAAGTTTAATAGTTTCCAACAGCATCCATCGCCAGACATCTGATTCGGAGCCTCTAAAGCTCTGCAAGTCCCTCCACAGCTCCAGGTGGTTCAGGTATCCAGCTGCAAAGAAGACAAAGCTTCGCAGGAAATACAAGTCTGCAGACACAGCTGTGCTCAGGCTATTATGCATGCATAACACAAGGTGAAAAGAGGCCCTCTGCCATTTCGGAGGGTGGTCCCTGCAGTCTGCTAACACGCTGCTCTGCGCTGGCTTCCTGAGAGTACAGGACTGGGACGAGGATTAGTCAGCTGCACAAAGGATGGCGTGCCAAATTGCAGGAGCTGAGTTTAAGGGCCTGATCCAGAGGCTCTTCAAATCATTGGCTGTTTTCCACTGAGCTTGATGGGTTTTGGATCAGCTTCTAAAGATGTGGTAAACCTGGTCATACTTGAGCCTTCATCTCCTCAAAACCAGCTGCTCCCCACCTCACCCTTGCACTGTGTGTTTTGGAGGAAAGAAAAAACTACATGTAAACACTGAGTTGAGACTTCCTTGTCTGAAGGACAGCATTTACTGCTTCATCTTACTTGAGCCCACTTGTAGCTCCCAACTCCAGCAGGCTGTAACAGCTTTGTGCATCCAGCACACATCACGCAAGAGCAGAGAGGTTAAATGGCCATGCCTTGAAATTGCAAAGGCATCGCTAGGTGCATAGAGCATGGCTAACCACTGTGTTATTCAAGAACACCTCTTCGGGAATAATTCTCAGTAAGGATTTTCTAGGCTGGAGCAAAAGAAAATAAACTAAACAGGACCAAGGATTCGTTGTGCAAAATAAGGGTATACCTACATATACAGACTAACCATGCTCCTATCTAACCACGCTCGTATCCTAGGATTGCACAGAAAAGCTTCAAAGATATCATAAAAAGACCTTAAAGGAGGAAGATAGGGAAGTTGAACAAGAAGGAAGATTCCGAGGGACCCCATTCCAGAAAAGACCACCTGAACCACATATATTACATAAAGCCCCTGTAAAATAAGCTGATTCAACAGTAGAAGTTTGTGCAATGAAGTAGGGCATACATATAGCACTTGGGGCCTGCCAAACTCAATGGGAATAAATACCCGTTCTGCAGATATTCAGACCTACTTTTGTGGAGTGTTAACTTGACCACACATTGAGTGCTTCCCTTACTGCCTCCGTATGGTCTCTTATAAGTTCTCTTAACTCAGCTTACTAGTTCATGGCATGTTTAATTACTGTGTGTGAGTACTTCAGCATTCCTGGGGAGACCCAGACAACAGCCATGACTTCTGTAACTGTTCAATCTCCACCTCTTTTGGTTTGCTTCAGCACTGGAACAGGGCAAACCATATATAGTGACTGGCAGATACTCCAGTTTGCAAGTACTCAACCACTTAGATCTTTTTCAGACCACCCACTAGCCTGGAAGACTCTCAGTGTTGGATCCCAACCATGACCAACAGATACAAATAACATAAGGTAAGGTTTCAGGCTGTCTTCTTGGTATAGACTGATGAAATGTCCCCTTTTCATAATCAGATCTACCATCTCAGACCATCCTCTGCTTCAATTATCCTCAGTATTCGGAGCATTTTTCACAAAGTAAGTAGACAGTTGCCTGCTAAGACTGAGGCCACAGTTTCCATTCTGTGTGGGTCACCAACC